GAAGCGTTGCTGAGATGGGTCATTCCTTGGCATTGCATTCTCGGTTGCGCCCCATGCGCGTGGGATTTTGCGAGATTTGATTCGTTCTATATTTGGTTACTTGACCGGATATATTTTGATGCAAACGCAACTTGGAATCTTTTGCGGCAGAACCTGCTGGAAGGGATGCGGGAGGGATGGGAGGGTGGGCTATCCTGATTGAGGCGCCGCTCTTTGGAGCTTCAGTAATACTTCATATTTTGGCAGCGTTTTCCAAGCCATGGCTTAGAAATCTCAGTGTAGTTTCAGCAATTACATGTCAGTTTTCGGGAAACAATGTCACGTTCGGATGCGTTGCGCATATGTGTTCTTTGAGATGAAAATTTCCTGATGTAAATCAGCATTCAGCTCAGATTTTAGCTTTTCCACCCGCCACACCCAATTGAGGGGAGTTTGGGAGAACTATGTCGGGTGATCGATGTGAAAAGAAGGAACTCCTCGCATCTAGCATGTGGCAGTTGTAGTTGCCGGTTACTTTCAAATGTATATTCTTGAAAATGTATATATTTGAGACAGAGTTCCGTATATTTCAGATTGCATTGAACTAAAGAACAGAAACTCGAAAGGCGAGTCGTTTGGACATATGCCTTTGGAATTCCCTAGTTTCCCCATTGAACCGCAGACCTGAAAACAGTGCTGGACAGGCAGTTTGCCAACAGTCATACTGACACCACACTTTGTCCTTGCGCGCCTCTATAGCCTTTAGCTCTATCCCAAGCTGCTTTCCGTGACGTGGGCTTGGGGCGAATGATGGCCCGCTTGCCATCGAGCAGGCTTCCACAGAAGGAGCGCCCTCGCACTCCCTGTGTTGACCATTCTCTGGGGTTGTCAGATAGATAGTTAGTTCATTGGGAGGAGATCTGCCAGCGATGAGCGGTTTACAGGTAAGGGGGCATCTGTTATTTCTGGCCAACGTGTGGACACGTCGATGAACATTCCTGAAATGCTGGACAGATTATGCGTTTGTCTTGTCGCACAGCGGCCTCCTGCGTGTCCAGCGATGTGTATGCTTCGATCTCCTGGCAAAAGCATTTCTATGGAACAGAGAATTTGTTTCTGTTGCCCATGTTGACATATTTTCGTTGTCATAGTTGCAAACCGGGAGTGCTGGTGTTGTTGCCCAAAGATTTGCCCAGGAGCAAATCAATTGGGATGCGGCCCACTGTGAGCCGCCCGAGAGGACACGCCAGTGTAATGCTAGGATTCCCCAGCGACCAACGATGCTTAGATGTGCCAGCTTGTCGCATGCAGTTTGGCTTCATGTGTTGTCCTTTTGGAGGCATTATTTTGGACCTCAAAAGTCATGGTCTATGGGTCCTGGGATATTTTTCTTGACAAGTGCCAGACCAATATTCCCAGACTTGAGCACAACTTCATCACTGTGTGCTTCGCTCGTTGCAGGCCGTCATTGCCTCCTTGGAGCCTTTCCAGTCCTATGCTACTTGGACAGCACGGACAGCAACAAGCATTGCCTGGACACAACTGTGCCGCTGCAGTCAAGGTGATTGCATCGCAAAGCACGTGCGAGTTGCTGAGCAAATTGTGCACGATGCTCAGTGAGCTTTAGCGTTGTGTGCGGGCTCAGCAGGTCTTTTTGCCACTACTGCTGACAGTTTTTACAGGTGGCAATTTGGAGCTGGAGCACCGTGTGTACGCGGAATGAGCTTGCTTTCGGTATGTTAGGCTGCAGAAGTTGTGTATTGTATTGTACGTGTTCCCAGCGTTCTCAGAAGATTGTTGTCAAATTTTGATGCAGTCAGTCGCGACTCGCTCGAGGCACTATAGCAAAGTAATCAGATGGCATGTAATTCTTGCAATTTAGGCAATCCTTGCGCGTATGAGGTGCGCGCTAGGGCCTGCTAGTTTAGAGCACCGTGAGAGTGAAATCTTTGGAGCCTTGTCACCTGGCATTGTCACCGTCAGACGGCAAGTGTACAATCTATTTGGGTTGTGTCGGGCAGCTTTTTCCAAACCAAAGGTCAGGATCCACACGGCCTAACAAACCTGAGTGACGATCTCAGGCATGACCGCTTGTTTTGTTATTACATAGAGTTGTTATGGGCCCCACTTAGAGGAACCGCCCCAAACCCAACCCCCAATAGGCCCCAATGTCCCCCAAGAGCCCCTAATTGATTTGAGAATATCGAACCCCAGCAATCCGTAGTGGGGGCTTGGGTCTGGTGGCGGTTCCTTTTGGCGTTGCTCATATCGATCTTATGGTTGCTTGCTCAGTGAGATGCATGCCTGGTCCCTCAATTCAAGATGCTCTGCATCTACGGAATTGTCAGGTTCGAGCCAGACCAAGTTATAATGCAGTTCATATGTTCTGCTGGGTCAGCTACCGGCAACGGTTCCTATTGAAAGCAGACAAGTTCAGGTGGATGTACCATCTGAGTGGCGTCAAGAAGCAGGTCAAGGCATGCCAGCGGTTGTGTTCAGTTGTCTGACATGGTTGCCAGTGGGAATCACTTCAGCAAAATGTTTTGCGTTGGACTGCCAGGCCGTAAGGATTTTGCGGCACTGCGCATGGATTCACTGGTGCGGAGGCAAGGGTGAAGCAAGCTTTGTAGATTTAACACGTGTGCAAGGGTTGGATTGCTGTTGTGACTTGCAGCACACGCAGGCCCGTGTGACATCCTCCCGCATAGAAATTCCTGATCTCTCGAAGAGGGCTGCGCGAGGTTTCATGTTAGTTTGGGGTATGGTGGGGTTAACGGAAAAGGTGAGTCCCGATATTCTTGTGAAAGGGTCTGGGCAAGCCGTGCTCTTCGCATCTCGCTTTGTGAACAAGCCTTAAGAGAATGCCTTGTGCCTTCCAATGAAGCTGAGAAACGGGGCGTTGGCAACACTTGGACTTGCCCTTGAAAATACCAGGAGAGCCCTTAACTTGGGGAACACGCAAGTGGTCCGTGGAGCACTTGCAGCTGGATGGGTCGGCTCCCACACATTCCTGAGGTTCTGAATGCCCAAGGCTACCTCCTCACGTTGGTTCAAGTGGTAAATGCTTCGAACTCTGTTACCCCGGACACCTCATAAACGTGTCCAATAGCCTGAACATGCCTGAGCTGGTTCGGGAATTTCGGGTCCCGGATACAGGGTCCCATGACTTTTCAAGTAGGACCATGCCTAAGCGCCTGTTTCTTGGAAGGCTGAGTTTTGGTCCAGCAGCATGATGAGGTTTAACGCAAACTACATGGGAGCCATGTAGGGGGTTTTTAAAATGGACGAGGGCTTTTGCAGGCTTTTTGTGGGTTCCATTTACGCTGAATCGGCTGGGCGGTAGGCTACACTACAAACCCTAAACCGCATGCTACGGTCTGGGCTGGGGTCATTTGCGCTCTGTTGCTCAAGACCTTTCCGAAGCAGCTCCCTGCGAATCAGCAGAAGTCCCTGTACGACTTGTTGTGCGCAAGATGCCGTCCGCCTATTCAACCACAGATCCATCAAGTGAAGAGGTCCCAACTCACACGTGGGACGTCTGAAACTTTTTGTCCGTTTTGTGCCTTTTTTTGTATGTTCTGAGTTGTGCAAGTTGCCCGGATTTTGTAGATTGGTACGTTGCAAGATCTTTCTTACAAGATGGCTTACAAGATGGCTACAGCCCCACAGTCCTACATCATCAAGCGTTCAGTCTTGAACGTGCATTTGGGGTGATGCTTTCGGACCTGAAGATTGCAGAGTCCCAGGCCTCGACAGCGGCTGAGGATTCTGTAGCCGAAGGCAAGTTACGGCGACTAAGCGGAGCGTTGCGGCAAAACGTGGATTGCTATGCAACCGGGCGTCTGGGGTTTGAGCCTCGTTGGTGACAAAAGAATTGTCAGCTGAGGGTACATCATGTGTTTCCGGCTCGGAAGTCGGTATTTTGTCCATGACTATGCAAACAGGAAAATTCGTTCGGGTTTAATCAACTAGCAGCACCAGTTCATTTGATGTGATAGGTCTTATGGAAGTATCACAAGCCAGGGTCCGCGCGTGCCCCCGCGCGCAGGCGTAGGTTTGTCTTGGAGATTGCTGAAACCACATCTGGCACCATGCAATTTGACCGGTAGCATCATCCTACAAGCATGTCCCCTGGAAAATCTTAAGTATATTCAAGGGCATCGCAGAATTTCTGCGGGGCGGATTTCGTTGTTGGGAAGTTGCAAAGACGGTGCATAGTTTCACCGCCTCTCTTAATATCGAATACCTGGCCCTTTGCTAGGGTGATTGGCTCAACAGATTCCTGACAGTACTTTGCTGAGACAGGAAGCTGAAGCTGCCACGTAAGGATGAGAAGTCAGTGGCAGTTCGCATCTGCTGGAGGTAGTCCGCTAATGTGCAAGGCAAGCAATTGTTTCTGTTCGTCAACACTGTTCCATGAAAAGTCTTTTTACAGTCGAAGCCAACAAACATTTTGTGCAGAACCTCATTTTTTGGTAAGCATTTGTGATCTAGGTCGGCGCATGTTGTCATTCATCGTTTGATATGCTGTTCATGTGACATGAACATTAAACACAAGAATAAACCCGGGCCAAGCCAAGCAAAACTTGTTCAAACCATCCACGCCAAGACTACATCTGCTTTAAAATCAGCCGGCAGACAAACAGATTGATGTTCACATACGCAGTCCCACAGGTGCTCAACAGCTTAATGTCGTTCGCACATAAACATTTGCATGAGTCTTTTGTTGTTAGTTGGTTCGCTCCTCTCCTGTTTTTCAACTTTCCACATGGTTTGGGCGAACCGTTTCAGTTTCCTGTCAGCTGTGCTCTGGAAGCGATGGCCCGACATCATGCAGATGTCAAGCGCAAGCCTGCCAGCCGAATTCGCGGCAAGTTGGCACGCCCAGGTTCACTCTCCAGAATGCAACACTTTGCCATACGTTGTCCACCATTTCTGACGATGGCCTGCCATGCTGGGATGCTTCTGAAGCAACTGGAAACGATGATAGTCAAAGCATGTGTGTTGCTTCTTCGGGTCAGGTCTTCTGAAACCGGCTCAAGTTCAACAATCGGGTCCAACAAAGCGATTGCCTAAGTTGAGACAACCACCAGTTTGGTTGGCTGTAGTTTCGCGTCGACACGATGTGGTTTTGCTTGCGGTTGGTGCATTGTGAGTTGTGTTGGGCATGCACCAAGGCCATTCTGGGGTAGTTTAGACCGACGAGGCAGCATCTTGCGTTATGTGTTGCATCCTCAGACTTGCTGCGCAGTCCACGTTACAACGAAGCAGCATCCATACAGATGTTGCATCCTTGTGGACGTGGCTTGGAACCGTATGAGATGGTGCACATTCCGCAAGTCTTCAAGTTTTTCACGCGCACGCAAGCCACGTGCAGTGTGCTCCTGTAGCAGCAGGAGCATAAGAGCGGGAGGGCGCAAACACGTGTAAGAAATTAGGCGAAGTTTTTTCTGTTCAATGCAAAAAGCAGGATGTACTCACAATTTTGCCGGCATTCGTTTTTTGCTCAAGGCATGGGTCTTGTATTTTCAGCTTAGCTTAGGCCGGACTTCGCCTCGAGCAAGTCTGAGGAGACTTGCCAAGTTTCAGCTCCCTCGAGTCTCAGAAATGTTTGATCTCTTGTCATCAGGCTCAGTATCGAGTTCTGTCATTATCATTATGATCGTGTGTCTGCCTGTTTTCGGAATTTAGGGTGTCTGGTCAACGAGGACTGGCTGCGGCGCCTTCAGTCTTTACCCTTTTCGCAGGGTCGCGTGAAAGTGCCAGCTGGCTGCCTAGAGGTTGGAAGATTACATACTTTGCAGTCCTTAATGGCAGGGTTGCTTGGGCTGGCCATCGCTCGTAAAGGCAGGTTTCAGGGCAACGACTTGGTCCTTTATTGCTTGATTGTAATTTTGTCATCAATCTACCTCGCGCACAGGTTTGGCAAGGAGTATGATGAGCCCAGATTGACTTGTTACTTTGGAGCTTCTCTGCAGCAAGGGTAGCATGCAATGAGTATTGCTGTCGAGTTGTTGAAGAACCACTGCGCACCCCATGTGGCTTCGAAGCCTGAGGACAAACCTTACACCTATTCTGGACGCACTATCAAGCCGATGCCGTGGTCGCGAGCACCTGTTCTCCAGGAAACCGTCAACTCACTGACACGTTCTCCTTTGCCTTGAAAGATGCAAGTGCCGAATGCAAGCTGCAATTGACAAGATGCTTCCCCGTTGCTGTGGCCAGGACATTCGCAGGCAAGTCGAAAAAGTTACAGGTGCACGCAGCTTTCGCATTGGCTTTCTGGGTCTATGCATGAGTGGGTATCATCTTCCAGCTTTGGCATGCCATTGTGTGAAGATATTCTGATGGTGTTGGTTCGAGTCCTTTGCAGGAGAAACCTTCAACTCAGTGCTCTGCAACAGATACAGGACTTGGCCATGTTGGGCAGGGTCTGGTTTCGTTTCTGTTTTCTTTGAGAGTGCATCTGCTGAAGGAATGGAAATGACACGATGGGCTGGCAACTTGACTTATGCTCTCTGGAGTTTGTCAGCTAGCAGCAGCAAACCTAGCAAGCCTGTACTTCATTTACACTGCAAAAGAGGTCAGTAGCTATGCCAGGCATGCTGATAACGAGCCCATTTATGGGATGAGGCCCACCATCGCATCTGCAGCCTGGCAGTCCAACAGTCGTTTCTTGATGCATAAGCCTGGTCATGAAGATTACAGGCCTACTGCGCATGTTTTTTTTTGACGTCCTGCAAAAGGTAACCTTCGGTGCAGAGAGGGACTTCGATTTGAGAGAAGGCAAGCAATTAAGCGATATGGGATACGTGGGGTATTTTAGCGAGCAGTCGGTCTTTCGGGCCTTTGGATGCAGAAGCCATGCCTCCATGCCTACATAAAGGAGCAGGCCATGCTGGTGGCGACGTTGGCAGGAGCCGAGCCTGTGGATGGAAGGTTTGTTCATCAGTGCCGCTTTGTCTGAATCACCATACAGAGTAGACCTTTATGCGACACTTCAACTGAAAAATCGAACACGCAAACAACAGATGCGGAACCCTTTTTTTTTGGCTGTCGTACCCTTTTGGTGGTTGGGCTACTCAAAGTGAACCCCAGGCAGGCCAGTAAGTCACTGAACCTGGTCCCCTGCCCAACAGCGAAACCTCCCCCCCACTCACCTCGTCACAAGCAGAAAAATACATCCCTCATCCACAATCATCCACAGCAGCAAAAACAACATGCCCCCACCTCCCCGGCCATGACAGCAAAAACATGCGCACCTCCGCCACAACTGCAAAAAAACAACGCGACATCCGCCATAACAGAAAAAAAACATGCCCGCTCCCCCACATCCCGGAAGCAGCTAACAAGCCACAACAAAAAAAGGAACACTCTTACCACCCTAGTTTCTAGCACCTACGGGTCTCCGCTGCATAACCGGTTGGAGGTCCTGCTAACAAAGGTGAGGGCTTTCGAAGATTGCGAACAATGTTGGATCATCAGTTCCGATATCATTGGTTCAAAGCTCCATCTACAAGCTTCTGCTTTCCTTGATCCAGAGGCCGTGAGCCCGGAAATATACTGCATTCATGAACTTGCGCTTACTGTCAGGATACGAGTTCGGCTGGCACATGGCAGCCTCTTGGTTCAGGCCTTAGTCATCTCGACTCAGCTATGTATCGGGATCTTCGGAAGTTTCATGCATGTGCGCTTGGGATCCACTACGGCGCATGGACAGCTTGATCACTACTTCGGTCTTCTTTTACCAACGCTTTGAACGTAGTTGTTGTCCGCCGAAGCCATGGCAAGGTGATGTCTGGAGCAACACAGGAATGCTGGCAACACTCTCTGCCAAGGCGCAAGGGCCTGAAGGACAAGCAGCTAGAGGAACTAGAACATGTGCCATGCGTTGCAGCTCCAGCTTTCTTCGCGAAGTATCTTGAAGGCAGCGTGGAGCAATGAAACCCTGTCATTTTTGAACATAAGAACAAGTCTTGCAAACCTGCATTTGGGCTGCTTGCAGGAAGAGCGCATCAACCTGACCTTCCGCAAAATTATCGATTGATGTCGGAAAAGGTTCTGCTCTTCTCTTGAGATGAATTTTGGTCGTGCATCATTTTATTTCCTGGCATGTGAGACGGTTTTGGCAAGGTTGCCACAGAGCTTATCTTGGAGCAATGTTGGACCATTCGTGGCTCTCAGCGCGGGGTCGGTCTCCTTCCCGATCTTGCATCCATGGCCTGGCACAATGCAGCGAGGAGCTTGTTGTGGAGGCACAGCAAGCGTAACGTTTGCCGGGGGCTTGCCGAGGTGTGGACAGCGCTTGTAGGTGGGTTGCTCAGCTTGGCCGTGACGATGAAATGTGGCGAAACTTCCTCTCTAGAAAGCTGCGGAAGCCAGAATTTATGAAATGCGTTTGAAAGCGCTACATGCCATGTCTCAACAATTGGTCCATCTATGGACTTGTGGTCGTACGCTTTTACTTTGCGGTGCTGCCAAGTCTTTGGTGCGCTGTCGGAAGCAGTGAAGGCCGGAAAGGAATTGCTTGGCTGCTTGGGCCAGTCAGCTTTCGGAAGCTAGTGAGGCGGTTGATGCATCTCATCTGTGCCAGTTGGGCATCAACTGGGAGACGGGCTTCGAATCCTCAGGGCTGCAGTGGAAGAGTCCTTTGCCGGGAGAGACAGAGAGGCTTCCTCTGCGCTGGATGCTGTCATACAGGATCCAGTGATATTTTTCTGAGGACAGGACATGTTCCTGGCTGTTCAGGTACTTGATAGCCAGTTTCCCCAAGGACTTTAAGATCAGCTATGCCAGGCTTGTTGGTTGCCTTGTGCACGCTGGGGTGGGCAGAGAGCAGGTTGCTTGTTTTCAGGCTTCCGGATCCCACGTGGCGGCCGTTGATTGTCCACAATGTATCGAACCCCGCAGCAATGGCTGTGGATGAGCAGAACAGGAGGCCCGTCGCCGGGCATTTCGCGTTGCAGCCTTGCGGCGATCTGCGTTTCCGCAGCGCAGGCTATTTGTGGCAGACCCCACAGCCAGCAAAGTGTTCTGGTATAAGCTGAAGGCGGGGTTTACTCTTTGACGTGCTTTCAGTGTTCTTTCGGCTTTAGATACTCTCTCAGGTTTTGCCGAGCAAGTTCCTGGTTACGGATGGTGACGTGCTCAGTCTTCAGTCAAGAAAAATGGTCAGGAGGAATTAAGAGTGCTGAGGAGTGCAGCGCGTTGCTGCAGAGAATGTGGTCGCCAAGGGTCTGGCCGTGAGCCAGGCAATGCCAGAGCAGTTCCACGGCAACCTCATCTGCTGAAGCTGATGCGTTTTTGTGGGTCGAAGTCGCTTGTAAGGAATCGCTCTTACAGTCTTGATATCCAGGGTCTTTGCTGTCCTTGCTGTGCTTCCTGGTCTGCCTCATGCAGGCTGGGGATCTCTTTATCGCTGGCCGTCTGGTTGCGAGCCCGCCCCTAACGGGGCATAGTGCCATCTACAAGAAGGCGCTTGGAACCAATTCTAGTCAGCAGATGTTAGTGTGAGCAGCGGTTCGCTGAAGTCTGTGTGGCAAATCCTCACGCAGCATCTTCTAATTAGAAGACTTGTTTCTTCAGAGCTGTCAGGCAGTAGGCCTCTGGTGCAGCCTTTCCGCGCTGCAGAGTCTCTCTCTTTCAGATTTGAAGTCAGGCAGCGGATGCGTTGGAGGGGACTCCTACGCCCCTGAAGCGGCTCTGGACCGAACATGTGCAACATGCGGTTTTGCCACACCATTTTTGCCTATTCGTCAACCTTGATTCAATTTTTGAAGGCCTCACGCCTGAGGGTGCTGGCATATGTTGAACTAGACTGGTAATGGCCCTGCTTGAAGGCAGAGATCGAGAAAACCCTGGTTCACTTACGGAACTGTATGATACGTCATGCATAGGACAGCCGGGGATGGCTCCTGGATACCAGTGTTGCTCGAGTCCAGCACTCAAGCTAGGGTGTGAAAACGTCAAGTTATGACACTTGGCCACAGTCACGAAGCTCACAACGGCGCGAACCATCCCAGGGACGGATCTCCTGCGACATCTGAGCCCATGAGCCCATCAACGCTGGGGGCCTGGGATGGCTGTTGTTGCCCTCGCATTTTGGATCTGAATATGGCACTTGGAGGCCGGAGATTTATCAGCCCGGACCGTTAGCTGTGGACATGTCAGCCAGCCTATTGCCGAATCAGTACTTACTCTGGCAGAAAGAAGGTAGGTGGCGCTGCTTCAATTTGCCAGGTTTACGCTCTACTGGGGGAATGCCATCAAAGGCAACGCCAGTCGAGGGCCAAGAAGCTCCAATGACTCAGCAGAGACAGGTGACACCATCAGGAGGCTTGTGGCGCATTTTGCAACAATCATGTTTGCTCAGGCGCGTTGGCCCGTGGTCCTCAGACTGTTCCAGCCCCACTTCCCGGGGGTGCCGCTGCCCCGAAGTCCAAGGCGGCATGCCGGACAGCATTTGCAAACAGGGTGCGCAGAGAAGCTGATCCATTTGAGCCACGGGACTGTAACGACCTCCAGGCAGGTGCCCACGCACTCGCCAACAACTTACAGTCGGTCACAGGCAGGTAGAATGGATTCCCTGACAGCAGTAGAGGACAGAGAAGGTCTGATTGCAACGAGGCTTGGCTGTCACGTCTTCTGGCATTTTCTATGCTGGGCGTCCAACACGGGGCCGGCCTGGTATCTTTGCTTTGTCATGGGCTTAGTTTCTAAGAGCTTCAACAAAAGAGAGTGGTGATGTATCACTTGTCAATACATGTTCGTGGGCTCTGCCGTTGGCTGTCCTACAGGTGCGCTTAGGCAGTGCTTGTAGGGCGTATTATTTCAGTCAGTAAGTACGCTGCCTACTTTTTGCTTGTGATGCGTCACTTTTTGGTGTGCCTGAGGAGGAGCAAGGACAGTTTAGATGGCTGCGCGGCAGATGACAGCTGCGTGCACCGCGTCGCTCAGGCAGCAAGCCGAATTTGGACCATTCAAATGCTTGTACGAAAGGAAGAGAGTTCTGCCTCAGAAGCAAGCAATACTATGGTGAGATCAAGAGGTCCTAGGTTCTACTCAGGGCCACAACCATTCGCAGGTGCCGAATCCGGTCGACATGTGCTGGGTCCGGGCCACGTTTTGACTGCAGCTTTTCTGCTGTTTGATGTTCTGCGGGCTTCGGTGCTGCAGAGCTCTTAGTTGCTCTCCTTCACTGGTTGGAAGCTGGCAGGATGGCGATGCCACGCTGTTTGTGGCTGACGCAGGTAGTGGTGCCGTGCTTTTCTCAGCTGGATCATTGTCAGGGGTTTGATTGAGGGACAGGGCCAAAGTGTCCAAATGGTACTTTGCTTTCGCAGCAGAGTGAGCGTCTTGTGTGTCTCTCCCGTGTACAATCTGGTGGGTGTACTTTGTAGGATTGCACTTCGTGCTTTTGGTTTGTGTTTGACTCAAAGAAGCCAAACCCAGCTAACACCCGGCCTAGGCCAAACCAAGCAACAGAAATGTCCTAAACCTCAAATGTGTATCATCGCAATTGCCATTGCAACAAATCCACAAGTACTGGGCTTCTGGGAAAACATAGCAACAATCAAAGCGCAGCCCGGCAAAAGCACAACACAGAAATCCGACAATATCCTACATGATTTTTGCATCCGAGTCTGGAGGGGATGTATTGAGCACAAGGGTTGCGTTCGCAGTCAGGTCGTGTCCATTCCTTCCAGTACAGCGAGTCGACACGCCGTGGCTGGCAGCCAAGACGGTTTTCAAAAGGCAAAGAAGCAGTCAGCAATGCCTGCAGTCCGTTCTGATAGCTTTTGAGGCGAAGGTGGCAGATGCCCTTGGAGTGCATGCCATCTCCATGCTCACCGTGCCCAGCGCAGCAATGAAGGTCGGACCTCACCAGTCTGTTCACATGATTCTTAGCAGGGTTCGGTCGGCTAGCTTTCCTTGTTTCTCTGCAGCCATGGCACCTTCACTCGCGGCCGAGGGCAGTATGTGACTGCATTTACAAGTCTCAGGAAAGAGCTTCATAACTTGTTAAACTAATAGGTATTGCCAGCAAGACTTTGCTTTGCGGCTGTCGGTGGGATGTGTTTTCTTGACATGACAGCTCCCAGGCAGCGAGCCTTGGCGCAGCCCTGCTTCTGGCGTTCAGCGGGCTGACTTGGTAGTTGGCCCCCTCCAGAGTCCTGAGCCCAAGCTGTCGTGCGGACGAAGAAAGAGGCTTGTGCTCTCTGCCCACGGTGAAGAGAAGCAGTCCTGGCATGACTGACTTAATCAAGTGATGGAGACTTTCTGCTATCTTGGCAATTGGCTTACAGTCCATGTTTGGACACAAGCAAAGCCACGTGTATGATAGACTAACGGGAGCGTTGCTCCGGCGCCCACTTTTGGACCTTCACATGTGTCTACAAAACCGGCTGGGCGGGCATTTGTCGTTGCACGATTTCGATTTCTTGACCCCTTAAGATCAGAAGCACCTATCACCTATCTAGAAAAACTCGTCGCATGTTCCTGTGCCATGTCACTTGGCCTAGCCCCCAGCGAAAATGGCATTTCTGCGTCTTGGTTTGATTTAGTACACGCGAGACATAGCAGCGGCACTGTCATGTTTCGCTACCGCTTCACGATGAGAGCGTAGGCGTAGATGACGAAGGGTTGGTGAAGAGAGCCAGAGCACAGCTGAGCTCAGCTGTGTCCAGGAGCTCTGGCGCTGGGCCGAGCCCAATGGCTCTGCAGCCCTGGCATTGGGCGGCGCCAGCAATGCAGCTGCGGCCGTCCAGAGCGGAGCACTGCACACTGGACTTGTTCAAAAGCCCAATGGTATCTTTTTTGCTTCCACGAAAGCCTGAGCACTTGGGATCCAAGGCTTGGGGCACGAGTATCCCATGTAATATCCGTTGGATCCTACAGGAATTTCAAGGCACTGACGACCATGCAATTGGAGTTGCTTGCCTGAACAAGGTTTGACTCCCGTGCTCTCTCGTACATGAGCTTGAGCCGCTTCCAGGAATGACCATGCTGACATACAGCTGCAGTATTTTCAAATGTCTGATTGGCTTCGGCCGGATGAGCGTTTGGATCTGTTTGGTGCTCAGTTGGTTGAAAGATGTTGAATGAGGGTACAGAGGCTCTGCCTCCATACAGTTCTGAAACATGGTCTCATAAGGAGACATGATCTAGCAGAGCCTCTTCAGGCCAGTGGCAGTCGCAGCAGGTTTGCTTTTCTTTTCGTTTTCATGCAGCCAGGCCTTGCAGGCCGCAGTGCAGCCCGCCGGCTCGCACGGCGATCGGGTGGTGCTGCTTCACTGTGATCAGGCTCTGCGAAAGCAAGTTTCAGAGCATTGAATTTTGAACATAGTCAGCATCGAGGGCCACAACCGTTCGCCCACCTTGGCCCTGGCGTTCTTCTTGTGCAATGGGCACACATTGCGCGAGGCAGGGCGCAGATGGTGTCGGTCCGGTAGCATGTCTAGCGCCGAGATATGGAAGCAAAGAGGCTTATTGCCGACTCCTACGTGTGAGAATGGATGTCGATCCTTTGCCACTTGGCTTTGGAGATCTAGCTTGCATGTATTTTCGGACATGAGGCGACCACACGTCTATCATGGTGCCAAGGCCACCTTATCGGCGAGGTCTTGAGAAACTCGAAGCTGAGCTGCGCGGCGAATCCTGAATTGATTTGATGTGCAGGAAGTGAAGGAATCAGGAAAGGATCAGCCGCCTTACAGGTCACATGGTGTTTTCCAGCTGATGCCCACCTGGCACATGACATTGCTTGTGTACTTTGGCTTCCGTCGAGCTGTTGGTAGTCCTTCATATGAGGAGTGCAGCAGCGTTTCCGAGCACGATATTTTCGCCCTTCACGTTACAGAGCTGACACTTTGACTTTGTTCAAGCAGATGGGTACATTTGGGCATGTCTCACGCTCTACTACCAAGGATGAGCCTTCCAAATCTTCACGAGCTGGCAGAAACTTGTGACATGCTTATGAAACATGTTTTTTTTGTTGGGGAGGTTCTTAGGCTTTTGTTTTGTTTCTTTCTGGCCTTAGGTCCGCCGCTCCCCCCTCCAGCTCCTCCAGCCCCGCCTCCAGGGCCGGCGGAGGCGCTACGGTCGGACGACGAGGAGCGAGAGGCGTGGCGACGCGAGCTTCGCACAATCCGCAGCGCTGCGGTGCTTTGTGCAAAGCAGGAATGGTGAAGCAGTGAAGCGGTCAGGATCCTGCAGAGGAGTTCTCCGAAGCCTCCCAGGCCTTCGAGGTGGCCTTGGCAGTTCCTTCGAGGCAAAAAAAGGCATCAAAAAGGCCGTGCTCAGAATGAGTCTGGAGGAGTGCGGTGCTATTTTGTGCTCAACCAAGGTTCGTCGTAGCGCCATCGCTGCGCTTCTGGCAGAGCCGTTGGCAGAAAAAAATGACGCTCTTGCAGTTGCTGCAGTCGCGCGAGACGTAAGGATGCACAGTAAGACACGGCAAAGTGTTTCACCGTTCACCGGAATTGTCAAGTTGTCGTTGCTGAAGGTTTTTTTGACAGCTGGCTTTCCACCCAGCTCTTGCATCCATAGCCAAGCTCTGTGATTTCCTCGGGAATGCTGAAAACTGTTTATTTGATGAAGAAGCGGGGGTTTGCTTGCACATGGGCCTGCATCCCAAAGCCACTTCAACTGTCGACTGCCGCAGCTATGTACAGTGTCTCTCAAGCCTCTGGTATCTGTCAAAAGCGTTCAGATGCGACACTCATGCTTGCTCCTGCTCCCCCTGGCAGCGCGCCTGGGAGCTCTATTGTTTGTTGGCGCAGAAGACGCCGTGCCCGTGGAGCTGGATGATGTGGCTTGACAGATGAGGCTTCAAGAGACTCTGCCGGGACCAACATTTTTCCTCCACCAAACGCAAAACCTAGCAGCAGACGGGCTCCCGTTTTGAGCAGCTGAAGCTTAAAAGCTAGCGAGAATCTCCTGAGATAGCAAACTTTGGGCACGTGTCTGCAGATTTCTAGGAGCCTCGTATGCCACGTCCAACTGACATCACCTTTTACGGATGCTTACCGCTTATCTGCAGTTGGGACTGTCACGGTTGTTACTGTGGTCTTTGTTACAAACTGTGCCACTTCAAGCGATTTCAAAAGTATTAGTCGCCGATTGGGGTACCCTTGGTCACTTCTTTCCAATGGATAGCATGAGGTTGGGGCAGGCCAAAGTGTGTGCTGTGTTTGCATGGGATGGCTGCGGGGAGGGCTGCTGTTGCGTGTACGAAGCTCTTGTGGGCATTTATTCATTCGTTCGCTCTTCCAAACTGCCCCTCCAGGAATGAACACACTGGCAAGATTGAGCTATTCAAATACGTTGAGTTCTGTATATGCCAAATATGCCAAAGCTGCTGCTCCTTTCAAGGAGTGTGCGGCAGAGACGCCCTGCGCGCTTCAGGCCGCGACAGTTGCACATGCACAATGGGTTGCTGTACGCAGTTCAGGGGGAGTGGCGTCATGCACACAAGTATGGAAGAGGCCACGCAACTGCGTGTGCGGCCATCCCGCGCCGAGGCATGAAGCCTTGTGGAAGTTACTCTTGCTTCATTTTGCCTGTAATTGTGCGAGGAGGATGGGACTTTTAAACGGCTGGAAAGCATTTCCGACAACACCTCAGCGAGCCAGAGTTCAGATGCCAGTGACGACATGGCTTCCGCTTCTGATGAGGCGCAGGGGCAGGTGCAGGAGAGATGCTTGAAGCTGAGCTCGTAGCACAGAGATGTGCTGCGAGGTCCACGTGGGGTCCATTGCAGATGGCCCGCAAGCTGGCTACACGGCCGCGCCTCGAATCTGTTGCGAGCTTCAAAGTGCCAGCCGGCAAGTTCACGGCTATGAGGGTCAGCATGACGACCGCGTTGACAGTCATATTCGTAGCAGGCAGCATGCGGTCTGTTCAGTCGGCTTCAATGCCCCTTTGTTGCCAGTTTCTACTACAGAGGAAAACCCTTCAGCCCAGCTTTTTCAGCACCTCCAGCCAACTCAATCAGCGCGGTTGAGCTGATCGAGTTCGCTGTTGTATTCGGCGTCGCCTTGCCCCGGAGCAGCTTCTGCATGTCTCAACCGTGAGATGCCCCTCGATGTAGTAGTAGCTGGGCGTACTTGCTGAGGAAGAGCTCGTCGCCTTGATGGCGCTCAGCCGCAGCGGGCATGCCGAACACAGCAATGAAAGCGATCAGTGGGGAGGTTCTCGGCCGGTGAGTCCCATTGCTTTCACCTCTCAGTGCTACAGCAGCTGGGCTGCAAATGGCTGCAGGTCAGATGATGCCTTTTGTCTTCCCAGGCATTGTGTGTGATCCTAGTGCATGGTCTAAACTTGTCCCCCAGTGTCTACAGCAGTTTCAAGCTTCCAAGCTCGTTTGCCTGAAAGACCCATCCCTGAGAGGTTATACCGGCGGCACTTGCACGAGCACAATGTGTCAATCTTTTCAGATGTCACAGTGCAACATGGGCAGATGTGTCAGGGACTAAGCTGGCTGACACGCAGCTCTCCAACACGATCGGATTACAAAGTTGCTAGTGTGATGTTTGTAGGATTACGTGACAGGCATGGGTTATCTGTTTCACTATGCAATGAACTCACCAGAAGGGCCTCTGATGCTTGCCAATGTCATGTGCATCGCTCCATGGATTTCCAACATCCCAAAGTGTGATGACCGACCTTTTGACCTGGGAGCAGTTGGCGTGAGGATGAGCCTGGTCAGGTCTGTCCAGGTGGTTGTGCTGGGGCTGATGGCAGGCCATTAAGCAAGAGCGCAGTCGAGCCGCAGAGGAGTTTCTTGGTCAGGTGCTACTCTGGAGGGAACATGTTGGTGGCCAGTGGCTTTACGCTGAAAAATGATTCTTGCTTGCAAACCTCTCCATAGCTTGGACAGCTGTCCAGGAAAAGGGTTCGTTCGCATCTCGGCTGATGAACGCTCCTGCAAGAAGACGGCTGATCCAGGTCAAATGGCCAAATTACCGGATGTATTTCAAACGTCCCTTGGCCGCTCTCTAAAAGCAAGATGCAATGCCACCATCACTAGAACAAAGACTCAAGCATCAACGGCGACTTTCACATGGGTTTGCTGGCACTCTCCTGAAGAGTGCATGACGGTTCGTCGTTCATATAGTTGGATGCGCAGAAGCCCTGCTTTGCTTCGCTCGGCGGAGAAAGTTCTTTGTCTGAAGGTGTTAGTGCCTGGAACCAAATGGGCACCTCGAGCATGCCAAGCTTCAGCTTTCTAGGCAGTGAGCGTCAGCAACACGCTTGCTTTTGGCATGAAATGTAGCAAGGCAGGCTAGAGTCGTCATGGAGCATCTAGAGTCAGTTGCATTTGCAGCTTACTTGAGCAGGAGGCTTACATGTCTTGTCTCGATCTCTCGTGGGCCTGCAGGGTCGGACAGGTTCGACCTGTACCGGATTCCAGGCACATGCTTTGATTGATTTGTTGGTAAGGTGTAGGCCAGCTGCAATGTCAACCAGCACGTCATTTGGACATAGGTTAGCCGTGTGTGCTTGCTTTTTTTTTTTTTTTTTT